ATATATTAAATGTATTTCTGGCATGCATCTTTGTTTTCATTTTTTCAGCTGTAACATTGCCATGGGTGAGCCCCTATGCCCATTATTCCACATTAATGAACGAGAACATGCCATATCACTACCCAGGTACATCTACATTTCTAGTTTTTAAAAGCAGTTTTGGAGTTTTAGGGATAGCAAAGAAGCAGCACATTATTTTCATCAATTTTTAATATGTAACATGTTGCGCAGATGCATGTGACTGAACCATTTTTGGGGAGAAAGGTACAGGCAGTCCCTCGATGTAAAGTGTCCAAGTTGCAGACAACTCATACTTAGAAACAGGCTGCCTGCTACTAAAAATGGCAAATGACCATCTCTTTCCTTCAGCTGATAAATCACTGAAGCCACACAGAGTTTTCATAGGTATCACTTAAATATGAGCCAGCAGTGTGCTACAGCTGCCAAAAAAGCCAACAGAGTCTTAGACTGCAGTAACAGAGGGATAGAATCAAGATCACGTGAAGTGCTAATACCATTTTATAATGCTTTGCTAAGACCACACTTGGAATATTGCATCCAGCTTTGGTCGCCACAATGTAAAAAAGATGCTGAGACTCTAGAAAGAGTCCAGAGAAGAGCAGCACAGATGATTAGGGGACTGGAAGCTAAAACTATGAAGAACAGTTGCTGGAATTGGGTATGGCTACTTTAATGAAAAGAAGGACCTAAAGGTGACATGATAGTAGCATTCCAATATCTAAGGCAGGGATGTCAAACTGCCACCCCGTGGGCCGGTTGCATCATGCAGAGGCCACGCCAACCGCAGCTCCAGCAATGCAAAAAAAGTCCCGATACGTCGTGACACATCACGTGACGTGGCGAGTTTGACACCTGTGATCTAAGGGGCTGCCACAAAGAAGAGGGAGTCAACCTACTCTCCAAAGCACCTGAAGGCAGGACAAGAAGCAATGGATGGAAACTAATGAAGGAGAGAAGCAACCTGGAACTAAGGAGAAATTTCCTGACAGTTAGAACAATTAATCAGTGGAACGACTTGCCTCCAGAAGTTGTGAATGCTCCAATACTGGAAGTTTTTAAGAAGAGATTGGACAACCATTTGTCTGAAATGGTTTACGGTTTCCTGCCTGAGCAAGTGGTTGGAATAGAAAACCTCTAAGGTCCCTTCCAACTCTGTTATTCTTTTTTCATGAATTCTTTTTTCATGAATATACAGCCTGTGTTCAGGGTTCATGAAAATACTGCATGGCTTCAGCGTTTCCTCGTCTCAAGGAAGGAGAACATTTTTAGTAATAGACAGCCTGTCTGTAAGCTCCGACTTATGTATTTGAGTTAAAGACACATTTAGGAATGGATCCCATGATTAACCCAGGGAATGCCTGTATGTGAAGGGAGACATAAGGATGGTATGTTATAGAGCAATTTAAACTATTTTTCTTTCTGCTTTAATTATTATTGGGTTGGGCAGGCAAAGAATTGGCATCAGGGAAAAAAAATTAAAAAATGGAGGGAAAACTATTTTCAGGTTTCTCTGTGCTGGCAGTGGATATTTTTCTGATAACATTTGGGCATCTCAATCTTTATGGTATATAAGCCACAAGATATAGCTTAGTGTATTGATTCAGTTGTAAGTTAAGTCAGTGAATTAAATCTAATGCAATGATGCTGAATTCAGATTTTTACTTAATCAGAGATTAAATGAACTACAATTATCTGGATCAACATATATTTTGCCTTAGCATGCTAGATGTGAAATCAGGCCTGAATAGATTAATATACTTAATTTACCCACAGGTAGAGCACAAAGGCAAGATTTGTTCCCCATGCTAGGCCAAAACCAATATGGTTTAGTATGAGAATCCAGGCATTGAATCAAGTGCTCCGTGTCCTTCCTTGTAGTATATAGTTCTGTAAGTGTTGCTGCTGGACATTTACAGTATTCTCATTTGGTTGATGTTCATGTTTTTCCTTTCTTCTTCATAGTCCCAGTTCGAGATGATGGTAATATGCCAGATATTCCCGCTCATCCCTGTGACAAGGAAGGTGAACGACTTGAGTGGATGAAGAAATGAGAATCAGCAGAGTGTTACCACTGAAGAGGCAGATCTCCCCACAAGGTTCCCCTGCCTTGGTTGTATATGTGTGTTTTCCCCAGGAGCAATAAATTTCCTGTTGTATCTAAAAGCCGGCTTCTCTGTCATTGTGGTTGGAAATTTAGATCAGGGGGAAAAAAACCCTGGAGTTTTTGGAATACTTATCCTCATAAAATCAGATGGTTAAAGTTCTATTTAGGAGACTTCAAGTCATGGGTGGTTTTTTTTTAACTAATGGAACTGGGAATTTTTTTTTAGTTAAAGAGTCTGATACCTCTGCATATCCTAGTGTTAGCGAACCTTTTAGAGACCGAGTACCCAAACTGCAACCCAAAACCCACTTATTTATCGTCGGTGCCAGGTGGGCATGGCCCACTGGATGTGCATGGCTGTGGTCATGGCAGACTGGGTGGGTATGGCCAAGGTGGGTGTGGTCACCTCGATGTTGCTTGTGGGGAGGGCCGGACAGGGTTGGGGGAGATCCAGGGGGTCTCTGGCAGGTGGGCGGTGGGCAGGAGGCTCATCCTGAGGGGTGAGGCGAGGCGAGGCAGAGCGGGGGTGCCATTGTCGCAGGGCAAGGCGAGGCAGGGACCGGGGCGGCTGCTGCCTGATACCATCGGCCCCCGCACACAGAGACCAGGGAGAAATGGGGGCCGACAGTGTCCGTCAGCAGCCACAGTCTGCCGGCCTGTCAACCAGCGCACTCTGGGGCTCCGCAGCCCGCCCCCAGCAGTTCAGAGAAGCCGCCTCTGAGTTGGATGGCGGGCCGACAGCTGAGGAGGTGATGCAGTGGGTCATGCCCAGGAAAAGGAGAGCATGTGAGGCCAGGAAGGATGGGATGGGGGGGGAGGGAAACCAGCCATGCTGGGATGCATCTGGCCACATGGGACCTCGGCGAGTTAGCAGGCGGCTGGTTGAAGGACAGTTGCCATCTCCAGGGTATGATGCGTATGCCGACAGAGAGGGGTCTGGGTGCCGCCTCTCTCACGCATGCCATAGGTTCGCCACCACTGGCATATACTGTCACAAACGGCTGTTTTAAGAGAAACAGTGACAACCTGCTACACCAGTTGGGGAAGAAAGAGGTCAATGATTTAATGTGGTGTAGCGGCCCAGCTAATTGTGGCTTATATGCCTTATTCACTTTCCTTGGTAGAGCCAAGAGGTGCTAATAAAAACTGCAGGCACAATTTGTGCAAGGTATTAAGCCAAGCAGACTGGTTCATAAGTGTGTGCTTGTCTCCATCTTACAGAGTGTGCTGAGCTTTTAAGGCTTGTCTGAATATGTTTATCAATCCAGAATGACTGCCAGCTTTGGTTACAGAAACTGGAGTTTTCCCTTTAAACACAGTCTGTGTCATACTGCATTGCTACACGCACAGTATTTGCCCTCTTAAATAATTAGAACAATGTTAGGAAAGAACTGCTTTTAAAAATAAAGCTAGCTACCTTAATTCTGACTTCTGCAAGCTAAGGACTTCAGGTTTTCATGACCCCATCACCTTTACATAGCCCCCCCCCCCTTGATGTACGTATGCACATACACGCCTTTGCATCAGTTTGGAGTCCTGGTGATTGCCTGGACAAGACTCTAAAGTTTTCTTGGAAATATTTTTGAGCAGAGGTTTGCCGTGGTCTCCGGCCTAGGGCTGAGAGTGAGTGACCGACTGATGTCATCCAGCTGGCTTTGTGCCTAAGACAGGACTAGAACTCATGGTCTCCCGATTCTAGCCTGTTGCCTTAATCACTGCATCATACTGGCTCTTTTACACCTTAGATCTTGGTTAAAAGAGGCACACCGTAAGATGCACTGATAATGAGAGTCTGCACGCTGTCAAGTTTAATTGGTTTAATGCATCATTCAAATCTTGCACAAAGTAGAAGCCATAAGCTTGAAGGTTGCTAAGTTGTATTTCTGTAACTCTTCAAAATCCAAAAATGCAAGCAGACTGCAGCTGTGGTTTGTTCAAATATTATCATTCCTAACTTGAGTGTATATTGGGAGCGGGGAATTCCCGATCCGTATGGCTAGCGGGAAAGTCTTGGTACTTTTGGGATGTTACCTTGAGGAAATGACAGGAAAAGAGTGCTAGTTCTCGCTCTCTTCTGGACTGGCAAAGATATGCTAAATTCTTAAACTGACACATAAAACAATTTGCATAAATCCACAATAGCACAAAAATTACTTCCTTTAATACAGACTTCAATACAGACCTTTAATACAGAGGTCAATAGCACAAAAATTACTTTCTTTAATACAGACTTCAATTGGCCTTTTAATCATGCTGGATCTCATGATACCATAGATGGAAACCCTGTTAAAAATCTTGAAGGAAGATTAAAAGAACTCAGCCTTCCCTCAACACGTGGTTTTCCAACCAACATCCACAGAAAGTGCCACTGTAGGACGCAACAGTGACTGTTTCTGTGCACTTTCTAATGCACAAGAATCACTTTACCCCCTTTCCCTCACCTACCAGAATTACAAATCCAGAGTCCAGAAGGGCAAGTGTGGGAATGCTGAACACTGACCTCTCAAAAGGGTTCTTCCTCAATCTTGAAAGGGTAGAAAGGTTTCTGCTTAAATTCTTGCTTCCCCATTCAAAGTTTATGGACACAAGTTATGTCCGTTGTGGATTCAGTTCAGGGACTTAAGCTAATCCACTGAATATTCTTACACGTTGACTCCCAAGCTTTTGTCCCTTGCTTAAACTCCATCACCACTTCTTCTACCATTTCCCCCACCCCAGCAGTTCAGATCATCTTTCACTGGGTTAGAGTTGAGGAGTCAGATGTGATTGATGTCCTGCTGTTCCCTAAATCCTTTTCCTTGGTATCCAAGGAAAAAAGGCGCCTGCAAGGCACCCTGATGGCCAGCCTAGCTGCCATATGGGTGTATATATATGTGTGTGTGTGTGTGTGTGTGCTTTCCTTAGATAAGGGACCAGCCTCAGTCAAAATCAGAACAGGCACCAGGGCTAGGAAACTTTGAGTAATGGAGTAACTTGTCCTGGGGACTGGACTGCTGCCAGGCAGAGCTGAGAACATCATCCTGGTCACACTGGAAATCCTCTTCAGATTTTATCTGCAGCCACAAAAACCAAAATGTATTATTAGTTGTGCAGGAGTCATCAATCTTTGTAGTTAAAATAAGTCAGGTTTCATATATTTGCATAAGCTGACCTACTGTATTTCTGCGTCATTTTAATTTTTCTAATAAAGATATCAACCACTTCTAGATTTTGATTTCCCTCACCCACAATTCAGAACTAGGATAGCTTTTTAAGTCTGGCCAAGTTTACTAATTTAAGGAAAACAGAAATGCAGCTGTTTCCCAGTTTCTGGGGTGTGAGTGAATGTCTATCATTCTATCTTCATCACAATCCATAGATAGCATGGTGGAAGGAATAAAAACATCTAATCTAAATTCATGTTAGATAACATTCACTCCTGTGCCTTCTGGATAAGCATATAATGCAATCATTTGATGGATAGAAAATATGTGGTAACCATTGTTTAAAAGATGAACTTAGCCCGGAAAAACGAGTAATTGTTAGAAAGAAACTAAAGATTGCCTCGCTCTGATTCGTAACAGAGAGGGAAGGTGAAACACTGTAAGGTTCCAAGATTCTGTTATTGTAGCCTACAATATATCAATACAGGTAGTCCCAGCTTTACAACCCAAATTGGGACAGGATTTTCTATCAATAAGCAAAGTTGTTAGGCAAAACATCATGCAACCACACTGCATACCAATGGCAGTTCTAGTAGTAGTCTTGGTTGTGCTCAATAGGCCAGAACTCATGCTTCTTCTGCCCTGTTGGGCTGGACTCTGCTTCAACTCCACCAACCATCTATCTTCCACCCATCTCCACCCTTTGGGCTGCCTTAAAGTCTGGATACCTCTGCCACCCCAGCTGATCTTTGCTATCTTTCCCCCAAGGCCAGGATGTGCCAACCTGGCTCTTCTGAGGTAGCTGCTAGCTGCACGAGGCCCTGAGAAGACCGTGTGGAGGCCTTGCACCCAGCCAGCAGCTGCCTTGGCCAGGCATATCTTGTCAGCAGAGGAGGAAGAAGACAGCAAAAGTCAGCTGGGAGCAGTGGGGAGTGCCAAGTGTTGGGGGCAGCAGAGGCAGAGGGCAATGGAGTATGGTGGCCAAAAGGGGCAGATGGGGGGTGGGAAATAGACAGGAGGTTGATTTAGATTGCAGGACCATCAAACGTTCCCAGTACCTGTACAGGGAAATCGTCCATGGGCAGCAATGTTGGGGCTGCTCGACGCAGCCTCCCTTCCTTCTCCTCTCGCAGATGACGTCGCCGCTTCTTGCTGACGGGGCCTTCACTAGGAGAGAGGCTCTCTGGCTCTTGGGCAGACAGGCACCTGGGGGCTTCTTTCTCACAGGGCTCATTCCCTGCGTTGCCAGGAGTTGCAACATCTGCACTATGGATTCCTTCATCCTAAATAGAAAAAGCGATGCAACTAGAATCCTCCCACTTTAACATTTTCCCCCGATGAGAAGCCACACAGTATTTACAATATGTGAGGGGAGGGGGCTCGGGGGGGGAGAGAGACTTGGCCTTGCTTTTCTATCCAATTTGTGGATAGAACCCAATGAAGGTAGCAAAGAAGTCAAGCTTGATTCCTCCCTGCAAAGGCACTTATAGCTTCATGGCATTTGGCTACCAAATTCTTATATTTTTGCAGAAGAGGAGCTGTTCTGGAACACTACTCATTGGAGGAGGGGCAGCGAGTTTGTTTATTTATTTATTAAATTTATTTGCTGCCTGCTTCGCCATGGGGCTACTCTAGAGCAGGGCTTTTCAACCTTTTCACCCATTGTACCATTTTTAGGATATGGCAACATCCGAGTACTACCAGTCGCCTAGCAAGGTGTCAAAAACTTGATGACCCCCCCAAAAGAACAAAAGTGATAAAGTACAGGTAGTCCTCGACTTACAACAGTTCGCTTAGTGACTGTTCGAAGTTACAACAGCACTGAAAAAAAGTGCCCCCCAAGCCACAGCCGAGCAAGACGCCTGCCTGCCTGCCTGCCTGGCGGCGCTCTTCCTCCTATCCGAGGTTTTCATTGTTGCACGCATTTCTGTTGAGGATTGGCAGCGGGGGTGGGGTGGGGGTGTTTGGTTTTTATTCCT